TCATTGGTACAAAGAAACCAGTTATTAATTGATATATGCTTTTCTTAGTTCTCACATTTTTTTTTTTGAATTTTAAATTCGGCTATTCAGCGGAGGGCACTTTCGGCAACAACAATAGCATTTTTATTTTCAAAGAAACGCAAATTTCTTCGTGACTAAAACCCGCCCCGAATTCACCGAAATTGTGTTACTCGAAAAAATAAAAATCTTCAGAAATTCGAAAATTGGATTCGCAGTTGGACCATCTGAATCAGTACATGGACAAGGTGGAGGAGAGGATAAAAGCGCACAATGAAAAGTTGATGATCACGCTCAGACAGCAGAAAGAAGAACGCGAGAAAAAGCGTCGTTCTTTTCACGAGGTATGTCCATCGCTGAAGCTTTCTAGATACTGTCGCTTTGGAGTTGATAAGTGTTGGTACATATGATACTTAGATCGATCTATTGGCTCTGATTCTAGTTTTCACAGCCAATGATGTTTCAGCAGAAGTGAAGACGCCTCTCAACTGGGTGCCAAAATAGCAGTTGTACAAGAAATTAATGCTAAGAAGTAGCACTGTATTTGGGGTGGGGGATTTTAATCCGTTTTCGCTATAAACTGTTGCGAGCGCCCTGTTAGCAAAATATTACTGCCATATACAAGCTTCGTTGTAGATGTGAAACGCACCAAAGCCAGCGTGTGAGGCGCACCAAAACCTCGGGTTTATGGTTCATTCTGTTTTGGATATAACATTCTATTTGTATGTATTTGCAGATGTCGTAACAATTCGCGAAATTGGAGGGTGTGAAAGTTGATTTCGGATGGGAGGTGATTGTACTTTGTGTGACCAGATGAGAGCCCCAAACAGTTTACTGTAGAAAAACGCTAATCATTTCGAAATTTTGATGATTTTCATATGCTAGATCGGCTAAAAACAAACTGTGACACACCATCAACTATGCTCTCGCCACAGCTTATTGCAAAAAAGTCCATCCGTCGTTCAGTACATTGCAGACTCGCATCTTTTTACGCTTCGTTCCCGCCATTCCTCTGTTATATTCTTTGCATTATTTCAGGAAAATCCCAAGGTATTTTCCCATTTGCTTTGGAAGTTCGTACTTGCGTCTACCTGCAATTCTGAAAAGCACAATCCAAATGTGACGTACCTCGTCAAAGCAAAGCTTTTCTGTCCTGAATTTGGTTAATTTCGCACCAGATTTTAGTGCCATACCAGTCTTTTTGACGTCCAGTACAATTAATCTCCCCCTTTTTCCTCCTTCACCTCGTCGGATAGCTTTCCTCGCGCCTCTTCCTCTCTCATTTTTATGCATTTTTGCTGTGCAGCGCTATAATGCTGCTACAATGAACAAAAGCGCATTTTGTCGAGAGACTGGCGATGTGTGTGCGCGCATCTTTGTGTGTGAGCAAGGTATTTGTCATCCACTTCCAAATCAACAATCAAGAAAGCTGGGAGGCTGAAAATTTGCATGCATGTCCCCAGTGTACATTTCATCCTCGCAGCTTGAAATCATCGCTCACCCACAGCTAGATCTCACGTACGATCGCTGAAAAAATATACGTATTTTGTGGCGAGGAAAGATTTTGATAACCAGAAAACCTAGAAAGTTGAAATTCTACAATGATGTCCCTTGTTCATATGTGCGCTTTTCAAATTCAGCTATTGTGCATGCCTACGCCACTATACGGTCATGTCAAAGTTCGTAGTTGACATCGTGGCAACTCGAAAACTAGCCGGAAACCAGTGACTGAAAGTTTATCAGACATTTATCATCCATCTGAAAGTCGTGTGCTTAAATCGAGTTTCAGTTTGCAGGTGCGCCACGACTTAGAGCATTACAAAGATATTTGTAGCGAAGTGGCTATTTCGCTTACCGGACAAGCTGTGAGGCTGCAGATTTGCAAGGGTATTCTATATCCAGGTCTGGTCTAAACCCAGCCTGTACGCGAAATGACCTGCACACGGACATGACAAATACTCGATTTCATATCAAACTCAGAAATGAGTGCATCTTATTTCAGCTGGAAGCTAAATTCCCTAAAAAAGGACATGAGAAGTACCAAATTTTATTATAAGTTCAAAAACAAGCGCGTTTAGCGGATTTCGTAATCCTTCTGTTTCAATTTCCTGTGCGTTGCTAAATTTGTATTTTTCGATGAGCGACCACTCGTTGGAAAACGACTGTTTTTCATGCAAAACTGATAATCATGCACCTCGGAGGTTCAGACGGCTCCGCATTTCAACGCTGGCATCCTAACCGACGCTCTTTTCCCGTGAATACAATAACCCAGGTTGGAACGCACCAGGCAGACCGGTGCGATCATGTGTTTTTGCACCAAACTTAAAGTAATTAAGTTGACTGCATGAACGGTTGTTTCTTCACACTTACCTTGTGCGCTCAATACGGTAAATCACCGTAAATTTTGCATAAAAGGAAATAAACAATTTCTGTTTAGCGGTCGTTTTTTGAAAATGACCCAGCTGTCCAATGAGTATTTTTTCCGCCAACAATTTAAGTGCCCGTATATGAGAAGCACGCGTACGTGGAGGCTGAATTTGAAACCTCTAATTTTGTATTTGGGCGGAGAATATTCTCCTAAAACTCAGCTTTCCACTTTTTCTGATTCCCGAGTTAGCAATTTTTCCACTAAAACTTTCACAGGGCCGCTCGGGATCTGGGATCATACCTGGGGGCTGAGTTTGGGATCTTTAAGTTGTATGTGGGCTGGGAAAATCCTTTTAAAATTTCAGTCTCCCAGCTTTCCTGGTTCCTGAGTCGTTTTCCCGCCAAAAAATTTCAAGAGGCCGTACGTAAGAGCCGCGCATGATTGGAGGCTGGATATGATAACTTCAAGTTATACATGAGCTGGGAATTTCCCTTGAAATACCAGCTCCACAGCTTTCCTTTTTCACAAGCTAGACATCTTCCTGCCAAAAAGTTTCAGGAGACCGTACGTGAGAACCACGCATGCCTGGGGCCTGAATTGATAAACTTAAGTCGTATTGGGAAAGTTCTTTGAAAATTTCATCCTCGCAGCTTTCCAGGTTCCCAAGTTAGCGACTTTCGAATCAGGAACCCTTACGGGATTGTACGTGGGAAACATGCGCACCCAGGGGCTGAATTTGAAATCTTAGAGTTCTATATGGACGAGGATTTAATCTTATAATTTCAGCTTTCCAGCTTTTCTCATTCTCGAGTTATCATTTTTTCCGCTAAAACTTTCATCCTCTCGTACACAGGGTCCAGACCTGCGTAAGAGTTGGTATCGCGGTCCTGGGGTGGCAGATGGTCGGGGAGCGCACTAGCAAAATTTCGGCACCGGAGCTTGCTTGGTTGCCGAGTTGGAATACCTGGATAGACGAACACACACACACACACACACATACACACAAACATACACACATACACACAAACATACACACATGCGCACAGACAGTGTCATTGCAATACACGTTTCTGCAATTTGCGTATAAGCAAAAACGCATAAAAATTAAAAATACAGCCAACATGAATCTACGTGTTAAATCGTTATGCCGAAACCATTCATGCTGTTAACAGTCCGATTTTTACAAGTTTAAAGGAAAAACGCATAGCCGCGCCGGTAATCCTAATGCGCGATAGCCTGAGTTATTTCTCTTTGGGAATTTTCGGTACCATGTATTTGCAAAAAGCAGTGAGCGCCTCATCCTGTGTACTGCTGCTCATTCGAGGATGGTTGACTCTTGACTAAAGAGCACTTTCATAGCTCCTGGAAGATTCACAGCCTTTAAGCTGGGTTGTTTTAAAATATAATGAATCCAGAGTGATAGCGAATTTGAAAGGGAAGAAAAATTACGTTTCTGTAAGAAGCATTTTGCATGGCATTAGTTTTAAATACAGAAAGGAAAGGAAGTTGGAAGAGGGATTAGGGTGAAGAAAAGGAAGGATAAAAGAGAGGAAAATGCGGGCTGGACGGTGTATGACTGCCTAATGGCCCTGTGTAATTTTGTTCGTGCACATATAGTTGCAAGCAAAAGTCCGGTCCTTCAATCGTCTGCAGCCTTTATAGTGTAAAGAATCTAGAGTGACTGCCTTGTAAAACGCATGGAGTGCTGACCCGTAGGACAAAACAAGTTCATCGTATATTACCTTCGGTGCAGTACAGCACGATGCTGGAATATCGCATTTCGCTACGTTTTGGTCCCGAATTTTACAACAGCTTTACTTAAATAGTTGCGCGGTATCCCTCATTTTTATGCGTTTTTGCTGTGACAGCCTCTCGACAATATGCATTATAGCGCTGCTACAGCCAGCAAGAACACATATTGTCGAGAGGCTGTTTGTGTGTGTGTGTGTGTGCGCGCAAAGCGAGTGCATTTTATTTTCACCCACTTTCAACTCGGCAACAAGGAAAGCTGGGGGGCTGAAACTTCGGATATATGTTCCTACCCGTGTGTCATCCTCCTCATTTTAAGATCTTCCCCCATACGCGCCTAAACCCCGCGCACGAGTCCCCCAAAGGAATTTGTCGGCGGGAAACGGTTTCGCGAACCAGGCAACGTAGAAGGCTGAAACTTTGCAGGGATATTCTCTATGAAAAATCGTTTCGCGAACCAGGCAACGTAGAAGGCTGAAACTTTGCAGGGATATTCTGTATGACCCACGAGACACAAAGTTTTAAACTCAGCCCTCTAGCTCCCCAACCACAGCCGCAAGAGCTCCTGAACCCAAAAATCGCAGCCAACCAGGCAACGTAGAAGGCTGAAACTTTGCAGGGATATTCTCTATGCACGTACGAGACAAAGGTTACTCAGCCCTCTAGCTCCCAACCACAGCCTCAGGCAGCTCCTGAACCCAAAAATCGTTAGCAACTCGGACTCAGCCCTCTAGCTCCCAACCACAGCCTCAAGCAGCTCCTGAACTCAAAAATCGTTAGCAACTCGGACCGGCAACGTAAAAAGCTGAAACTTTGCAGGGATATTCTCTATGCACGTGCGAGATAAAAATTTTAAACTCAGCTCTCCGGCTGAAACTTTGCAGGGATATTCTCTATGCACGTACGAGATAAAGGTTTTAAACTCAGCCCTCTATCAAACACAGCCTCAAGCAGCTCCTGAACCCAAAAATCGTTAGCAACTCGGACCTGATCCACCAATTGTACATGCGAATGAACGTGGATTTTTTGAAAAACGACCGTTCGGGCAATATTTTCAATTTTTCAATGAACAAAATATTTGCATATTTTCAAAAATTCGTTCTCAGCCTCGAACCTTAACCGCAATCGTATATGTAAATGCGGTTTTTTTGGAAACGACCGCTCGGACAATACTTTTACTTTTTAGTAACCTGGAAATTTGCATTTCAAAAAGGCAGGGAAATTTGATGGAGTCGTTTTTTTGGAAACGAACGCTCGGGCAATACTTTTACTTTAGTTTTGATGCAAAAACGCATGATCGACGACCGCTCGGACAATACTTTTACTTTTTAGTGGCCTGGAAATTTGCATTTCAAGTGGAAACGAACGTTCGGGCAATACTTCTAGTTTTTAGTGAACTGGAAATTTGCATTTCAAAAAATT